CAGCCTCCCAAAGTGTTAGGATTACAGGTGTGAGCAACCATGCCCGGCCCCATGCATTAGAATATTATGTAGATGACATACACTACAGCATGGACAAACCTTGAAAGGAGCCAGATAATAAGGACATACACTGCATGATTCCATTTATGTAGAATGCCCAGAACAGGCAAACATGCCAAGACAGAAAGCAGATAAGTAGTTGTCTGGGCTGGCAACAGGGAGGGAGAGTAACTGGGGAGTGTGGAGCTTCCTTTAGGGGTGATGGAAATAGTTTGGATGAGACAGAGGTGGTGGTTGTACAACATTGTCGGTGCCTTAAATGCCACTGAATTCTTCACTTTAAAATAGTTAATTACTGGCTATTAATGTTAAAGTAAAAAATGAAAAAAAATAAGGCCAGGCTTGGTAGCTCACACCTATAATCCTAGCACTCTTAGAGGCCAAGGCGAGTGGATTGTCTGAGCTCAGGAATTTCAGAACAGTCTGAGCAAGAACAAGACCTGGTCTCTACTAAAAACAGAAAAACCAGCTGAGCATCGTGGAGGGCACCTGTAGTCTCAGCTCAGGAGGCTGAGGCAAGAGGATCACTTGAGCCCAAGAACGTGAGGTTGATGTGAGCTGTGATGTCACATCACTCTACTAAGGGTGACAAAGTGAGACTCTTTTTCAATAATTACATGAACAAATGATTATAAATTAAATATAAATATAGAAAAACTAGCCAGGTACTGTGGCAGGCAGTTGTAGTCCTAGCTACTCGGGTGGCTGAGGCAAGAGGATCACTTGAGGCCAAGAGTTTGAGGTTGCTGTGAGCTATGACATCACAGCATTCTACCTAGGGTGACAGAGTGAGAATGCTCCCAAAAATGTTTAATTAATTAATTGAATAAGATAAAATGATTAATTTTATGTTAGGTGAATTTCCCCTTAATTAAAAAAAAAGGAATGTTAACTCAGATACCTTGGAAATGACCCTGACTCCCAGGGAGATTCAACTAGAAGCACTGGTGGACAGAGTCTGGCTCAAAGAGGATCTAGGACACGGTACCTCCAGGGACAGGAGGTCAGGCTGGATGGATGGCTGAGCCTGGAGTCCTATCACCACCTGACTCCCAGCTATACCAGGCCTGGTTATCTGAGACACCTACTAAGCCCTGCCCTCCCTCAGAGGAATGAGAGGTGCAGGGTGAACACAGGGGCAGAAGCCCATCTGCAGGTAAGAAGGCCGTGGGGTGGGCATAAAGTTCTGGGGACCAAGTGTTTTGTGCCCACACAGCACATTCTCCATCCATAGCCTCTCATTTAACCCTTAGGGCCACCTGAGAGGATTGTTCCTATTTGACAGATGGGGAAGCTGAGGCTTAGACAAGCAAACCAGGTGGCTAGGACAAAGCAGCGTCAAGCGTAGAAGCATCAAGCATAGAATCACATATTTTTTTTCACAGCTCAACCAGACCCCTTCCAGACTCACTAGTTTTTTTTTTTTTTTTGAGACAGAGCCTCAAGCTGTCCCCCTGGGTAGAGTGCTGTGGCATTACAGCTCACAGCAACCTCCAACTCCTGGGCTCAAGCGAGTCTCTTGCCTCCGCCTCCCAAGTAGCTGGGACCACAGGTGCCCGCCACAACGCCCGGCTATTTTTTGGTTGCAGCCATCATTGTTGTTTGGCGGGTCCGGGCTGGGGATTCGAAACCGCCACCTTAGGTGTACGTGGCTGGCGCCTTAGCCGGTTGAGCCATAGGCGCCGAGCCAACCTCACTAGTTTTTAAATGCCTAACAAGGTAGCAACTGGGAGAAGCACTGGGAAAGGGGCCCCCTAGGATTCTGGGGCTGCTCTTTTCTTGAGTGGGTTTGCTAGTTACAGAGTTTGCCTGCACTTTTTTGTATGTTGGTCTTCATACAAAACTGAGGTTCTCCTGACCCCATTTTTTTAAGATAGAGTCTCATTCTGTCTGTCACCTTGGGTAGAGAGCAGTGGTGTCATCATAGCTCACAGCAACCTCGGTCAGTCTCTTGGGCTAAAGTGATCCTCCTGCCTCAGCTTCCCAAGTAGCTGGGACTACAGGCACCTGCCACAATTACCTGCCAGCTAATTTTTCTGTTTAGTAGAGACTGGTAGTAGAGATTAGTAGAGACTCTTGCCCAGGCTGGTCTCAAACTCCTGAGCTCAAGCAATCCACCCAAAGTTCTAGGATTGCAAGCATGAGCAACCCTGCCCAGCAGAAAAGTGTTTTTAGAAGTCCTGCAGTCCTGAAGTGATTTGAATGACACAAGGTGGTTGAGACGGCACCTTCCTTCCATAGGAGCCTGTCTAGGCAGGAGAGTGCTCTCTGCTTCTGTCTGGTCTGGGGCTTTTTAAACAGTGTGGGTGTGGTTGGGCATCAGCTACTAAGGCAGAAAGCAGAAGTGAGGCTGAGAAACTGCCCCACAAGGACCCTCCTACCCTCCCCCCTTGGGTGTTGGGGTTCCCAGATGGTGGTGGGAACATCAGGAGCAATCTCCCTGGCCTAGCCCGGCCCAGCCCCTGAGCACCTGACAAACCTCATCCCCTCCTCTCTGCACCAAGCCTCAATCTTCACTGCATATTTCATAAGGGATGAGGAGACTTACCCCCTTGCCAAACCAAGTGCCCAAGGCAAGGACATCCAGGGGGCTGAATCACGGCCCTTAAAGATGTCCACTGCCTAAACCCTGGAACCTGTGACTGTGTTGTTGCCCTATATGGCAAAGGGGACTTTGCAGGTTCTGATTACATAAAGGATGTTGAGTTGGGAAGATGGTCTGTAATTACGAGGGTCCTTATAGAGGGAGGTGGGAAGGTCAGAGTCAGAGACAGAAGATACAAGGATGGAGGCAATGTCAGAGAGGAGAGAGAATGTCTGGCCAGGGGCAGTGGCTCACATCTGGACTCACTCTAGCACTTTAGGAGGCTGAGGAGAGAGGATTGCTTGATGCCAGGAGTTCAAAACCTACCTGAGAAAAAGCAAGACTCCATTTCTACAAAAAAATAGAAAAATTAGCTAGGTGTGTGGTGCGTACCTATAGTCCCAGCTACTCAGGAGGCTGAGCCAGAAGAATCACTTGAGCTCAGGAGTTTGAGGTTTCTGTGAGCTAGGCTGTCACCATGGCACTCCAGTCTGGGCAACAGAGTAAGACTCTGTCTTAAAAAAAAAAAAAAAAGAATTAAAAAAAGAGAGAGAGAGTGGGAATGCTGTGCTAGCCATGCTGCTGCGGGAGGGGCCATGAGCCAAGGAATTCAGGCAGCTTCTAAAAGCTGGGAAAGGGCAGTGCCTGTGGCTCAAAGGAGTAGGGCACCCACCCCATATGCCGGAAGTGGCTGGTTCAAACCCAGCCCCAGCCAAAAACTGCAGGAAAAAAAAAAAAAAAGCTGGGAAAGGCAAGAAAATAGATTCTTCTCCCTTGAATGTAGTCCAGTGAAACTACACTTTAATTTTAGCCCAGTGAGACTTCTTTTTATTTTTTCAGATGAAGTCTCACTCTGTTGCCCTGGGTAGAGTGCTGTGTTGTCATAGCTCGCAGCAACCTTAACTCCTGGGCGCAAGCAATCCTCCTGTTTCAGCCTCCCAAGCAAGCAGCTGGACATATAGGTGCCTGTCACTACACCTGGTTAATTTTTTCTAGTTTTAGTAGAGACAAGGTCTTGCCAGAGACAAGGAAACTTAGGCAAAAGAAGGTGAGCAGCTCAAGGTCACTTTGCTCAAAAAGGCTCCAGTTTTCATGCGGGCTGCTTCCCCTTCTTGGCTATTGTGCATAATGCCACTGGGAACATCTGGTGTACTTACAGATTTTTGTTTAAACAGCTATTCTCAGTTCTTTTGGGCACACAGCTGGGGATGAAATTTTCAGGTCACAGGGTGACTCTTTACATCCCCACCAGCAGTGGGAAAGGGCTCTGATTTCTCCACGTCCTTGGCTGCATATGGGACTCCATTTATTAACACCGGCCTCAAGCTGGTTGAGGGGTGGCAGGACACAGCAGTTCGAGGCAGGCCAGAGACAGAGGCCCTGCCTCAACTCCCCGCTCCCCTGTTAGGCCTTCAGCAAATCCACAAGCTCCTCTGAGTTCATTCCCCACCTATGACACTCCTTCCCCACTCTTCACAGCTCCTGTGGGTTTCTGTTCACTCATTTCTGTTTGCTACCCCTTGTTACCTCTCCCACAGCAGGCTCGCCTCAAATTTTGTTTTATTGAGGTGAGATTCATGTAATACAATTAACCATTTTAAACTGAACAATCTGGTGGCCTTTAGTACATCAACAATTGTGCACCCCTATCTAGTTTCTTTTTTTTTGAGACAGAGCCTCAAGCTATCCCCCTGGGTAGAGTGCCATGGCATCACAGCTCACAGCAACCTCCAACTCCTGGGCTCAAGCAAGTCTCTTGCCTCCGCCTCCCAAGTAGCTGGGACCACAGGCGCCCGCCACAATGCCCGGCTATTTTTTGGTTGCAGCCGTCATCATTGTCTTCGCGGGTCCGGGCTGGGGATTTGAACCCGCCACCTTAGGTGTACGTGGCTGGCGCCTTAGCCGGTTGAGCCATAGGCGCCGAGCCCCCTATCTAGTTTCAAAACATTTTCATCACTCCAGAGGAAACTCTGCACCCACTAAGCATGCACTTCCCATTCTCTCATCCCCTGTAGCCCCCCAGAGACCACATACCTCCAGGGCTACCCCTGTAGCCCCCCAGAGACCTCCATCTCTACGGATTGGCCTATTGTGGATGTTTCCTATAAAAGGAATTATAGATTACATGACATTTGTCTCTGGCTGCCTTCCTCAATACTTGACAAAGGTTGCAAGCTTAGAGTGTTGGTTCTGCCTGACTCCAGAGCTCCATTTCCCCTCTGCTGTGTAAGGGGAGGGCCCATCACAGAGCAGTGTAGATAGGCTGCCCCAGAGGGGCCAGAGGGTTAACCCTGGAACTGGGGTTACCTTCACTTGATCTTAGCCAAAAGGCCAAGAAGTGATGAGCTGGGGTTACCTTTGTGATGGCTTCCTCATTACCCTCCACCATCTTCCGGAGCTTAATGAGATGCCACAAGTCTACAGCAGGTCGCTTGGTTCCCTGGCTGCCCTCTAGCAGCTGGGTGGTGGAGGGCAGGTCCCGTAGTATGGCCAGCTGGGACTCTATCTTGTCCACACGGCTTACCAAGTGGTCGAAGACATTGCTGACCTTTTTCATGGGGCTGAGTATGGGCTGGGCATCTCCTTCCCTGGGCATGACTATGCCCTGAGAGGTCTGGAGGAAGTCCTCATCCCCCGAGAGGACCTTCTTGAGCTTGCCCATTTCAATGTGCTCCAGTATGCCATGGAGCAGGAGATGCAGGGCCTTGAAGTTCACCACTCCGCACTGTGGGATGGCAATGTTGACCAGCTCTGCGAATGTGAGCGAGAAGCCTGGGGCTTCCTGGGGCTGGGTCATCCTGCCTGGGGCTGGATCAGTGAGGCTTGGGTTCTGTGGGTCCCTGGGGATAATTGGTAGCTTCCAGTGGTCCCAGGAAATACACGGACAGGTCCTCAGAGGTTTGGAGAGGCAGCAAGTCACAGTGGTCAGGGAGGGGAGGAATGGCCTCTGTCCTGGCCAGAGCTCAGATCAGAGTTTCTGGTTGCTAGGACACCAAAGAACGTAGTGGCATGGGCATGCTTCCAAGAAGCTGGAGTGGGGCACGTGCTCCTGCATGCGCTCTACCCAGTGAAGTGTTCGATTAACATTTGATGAATGTTTGAATAGAGAATGCACAGCCTTTTGATTATATTAGACTGATGACCATTTCTTTTTCTTTTTTTTTTTTTT